GTGATACTACTACTGCTACTACTTATCTACTACACTACTACGACTACTACTACTACTAGACTATTATATACTGCGCTGCTACTACTTACTACGACGGACTAATATACCACTAACAACTACCACTACCATACCACTACTACTAGTACGACTACTACTACTACTACTACTACTACTACTACTACTACTACTACTACTACTACTACTACTGTATTCATATTTCATGCTGCTGCTGCTCTTCCTCCTCAGACTCATACTCTCCCTCCTCTCACTCCTCCTTCCTCCTCCAACTCATTCTCCTACTCCTTCACTTCCTTTTACTGTCATCCTCCTTCCCTCGTCATTCCTCGTCCTCCTCCTGGTCATTTCTCGTGAAATCCACCTCCCTGCTCTCACCCAGCCTCGCTTCTATCGAGGGGCGTGGTGGTCGAAACTGTTCCCGAACATCTGCCCGAGTGTGACCGAAACGTGCGCAGACTTTTCCAAACGCGCCACGGATACCAAAATTCTTAGTTCTTAGTTCGGTCCCATGTTCGGTCACACTATGTGTTCGGCCACAATTTAGAGCACATGTTCGATTTCTCTGGTCACGTACCTTTTCGGCTGGTGGGAGCCTGGCGGCATGACTACTCCTCTTCCTAATCCTGATGTCTCATATTATGTGCCCTCTCTCTAACCACATCATACTACTCACATTATTCCTCTGCTACATGCTAATACTCCTCTTGCAGATACTCCCCATAAGAAACCCCACGAGGAATTATCCTGGCGAAGGGCCCAACAATCTGCCATTGGAGGGTACCGCATTATGAATACAGCGTTCGGTGGAGCTCCCCATGGGGTCACGAAACGTGTGAGGTGTGTGTGTGTGTAACGAAATGAGGCGGGGCCGCCATGCGAACCCTGCCACTGGGGCCTTCGGTGGAGCACCCTATGGGGCCACGAAACGTGTGAGGGGTGTATCGAAATGGGGCGGGGCGGCCATGCGAACACTACCACTGGGGCCTTCGGTGGAGCCCCCTATGGGGCCACGAGGCGTGTGAAGGGTGTGCCGAAATGGGGCGGGGCCGCCATGCGAACCCTGCCACTGGGACCTTCGGAGGAGCTTCCTATAGCGCCACGGAGCGCGTGAGGGGTGTGTCGAAATGAGGCGGGGCCTCCATGCGAACCCTGCCACTGGGGCCTTCGGTGGAGCTCCTCCGGCGTTGGAAGGGGCCGCCATGCGAACCCTGCCACTGGAACCTCTGGCAAAACTCCTTACGGACCACGAAACGTGAGGGGTGCGCCGAAATGAGGCGGGGCCGCCATGCGAGCCCTGCAACTGGGGCCTTCGGTGGAGCTCCTCCAGAATTGGAAGGGGCCGCCATGCGCGAACCCTGCCACTGGGGCCTCCGGCAAAACTCCTTACGGACCACGAAAGGTGTGAGGGGTGCGCCGAAATGAGGCGGGGCCGCCATGCGAACCCTGCCACTGGGGCCTTCGGTGGAGCTCCCTATGGCGCCACGAAACGTGTGAGGGGTGTATCGAAATGGGGCGGGGCCGCCATGCGAACCCTGCCAATGGGGCCTTCGGTGGAGCTCTCGATGGGGCAACGAAACGTGTGAGGGGGGTGTGCCGAAATGAGGCGGGGCCTCCATGCGAACTCTGCAACTGGGGCCTTCGGTGGAGCTCCCTATGGCGCCACGAAGCGTGTGAAGGGTGCGCCGAAATTTGGCGGGGCCGCCATGCAAACCCTGCCACTGAGGCCTTCGGTCGAGCTCCCTATGATGCCACGAAACGTGTGAGGGGTGCGCCGAAATGAGGCGGGGCCGCCATGCGAACCCTGCCACTGGGGCCTTCGGTGGAGCTCCCTATGGGGCCACGAAACGTGTGAGGGGTGTGCCGAAATGGGGCGGGGCCGCCATGCGAACCCTGCCACTGGGACCTTCGGTGGAGCTCCGTATGGGGCCACGAGTTGCTGCACTGGGCACTAAGGATGAGGGGGGAGGGAGGAGGGGGAGGAGGAGGAGATGAGGAGAGGTGGGACGCGGGGCGCTGTCTCTTCGGAACGAGGAGCCAACACCGCAGGATGGTTGGGAAAAACACTGAGGACTGCACACTCGGACGACGACGACGAGGAACAGAGGAAGATGAGTCGGACACCTGCGCCACCGACGCAAACCCCACTCACAACACACGACGACTGACTGCGGACCGGTACGACCACGGGCAAGTTGTGGCGACAGGGTCACCTCAATGAGACGAAGAGATCAGCATGAACGCATGTTCAACCATGCTGCCCACATCTCTGGGTGAATACTACCATGGATGTGAATAATACTTTGTGGCTTCAGAAATGTAGCCGATGGCTTGGCCCGCGGTCACCTGCACGGCAGGAAAAGGAAACAAAAGAAAATGGCAAAGACTGAAACAAAAATGGTAAACCTGACATGGAAAACTGTGGTTGCAACCTACCCTAGCAAAAGACGCAGATTGAAGGATAATTGCCAACGGCCCACCCAATGTCCTCGCGCGACACATCCGCTATCCCTTTGAGCCGCTGTCTTCTTTCGGTGGTAGGCTCCAGCTGCACACGCCGAAGAAGCAGGGACGAAAGGAAGGACCCCGCCCACATCGCAGCGCGCCCAACATCCTCCCAGTTGGGTTGGTCGATCTGCTCGTCTGTCGATGCCGACATGTCGAGTTGCATAGCACCCCAATGCGTCAATCCGCCTGGCAGCAGACGAGCAGCCCGTGACGGCAGTAGCTGTGGGAGTGCGAGAAGTCCCCCCGACCCTGGAACCCAAGGGAGGCACCTGCTGCGAGGGCGGCACGGTGCTGCGCGATCTCGGTGGGGACCGAATCGGAGGCCGCGCTCTTGAGGATTGGCTCTAGCGCAGTCCAATGCAAGGAACATCTGAGGAGAGCCCATGCCTTCAAGTGAGAAAAACCTCATCGGCAATGCCGGTGGGCCTCTCGCCCTGACCAGGGACCCGACCCGCTGAGGTTTCGCAAGAAGTCTGGGCTTCGCCCAGGCGAGAAGGAAGCGACATCACAGACGGTGCGGGCATCGGCCAAGGAACCATTAGATAGGGAACCCAAGGTCTGGAAGCCAGTGAAACTGCAATCGGGGATTTGCCATGTACATCACCGCCGCCCTCGTCAAAGAAGGAACCTTCCAAACACTGAATCCTCCTGTCGGCGGCACGCCCGGGTGGAAGTGAGCAGGGGCAGGCCACTGGTCTTCTCAGAAGACCCTGGACTTCTGAGAAATGTTCTGTGCCTTCAGACGTAACATTTTGGCGCTCCGCGCGGATTTCTTGGATCCGGGCCAGACCCCCTCCCTGGCGCGCGGAGCGCGCCAAGGGCCGCGCTGGAGGCGCCGCCGGAGGGGGCCACAGCAAGGATCCAAGAAATCTGTACGGAGCGCCGAAAGTTTATGATTGTACCGTTTTTCATATTCGACATCATTTCTCCTCCGCCTCGTCTCCCGTCCTCGTCTCTCGTCCTCCTCCATTCTCCTTCTTCTGCTCCTCGTCCTCGTTCTCCTCCCAGTGGACTTCTGACAAGTTTACTGCGTCTTCGGGAAGGCTTACAGTCACCCCGTATCATAAGGATGCGCGGAAAGGATGCACGGGCCTTGGACGGCCACGGTAACGTTTTTCGAACGAGGCTGGCCAGCGAAAGTCGCTAAGGATGGACCGAGGAGGCAAGGATGCAAGGGCACCCTTGGGATGTTTGCCCATCCTCACTATGTGGGCCGACGGTAGTCAAAAGACTCCTCGCAAGGCCCGAGGCCGCCCGAGCCTTCTGAGCAGAGACCCGCCCCTCCGCACCTCTCGGGGGCAGGGGGAGGAGGCTGGAGGAGGGAAGGGGGGGAAGGCGGGCAGGGAGAGGAGAGCAGGAGGGAGGAGGGAAGGAGGCTTAGAAGACTTCTGGGCAGGCCCGAGGCCGCCCGAGCCTTCTGAGCAGACCCCCCCCCCCAGCACTCGCCACCGATCCCGGGCGCGCTTCCGCGACCAACGCCCCCCGTCGAGGACTGCCGGCGCGCCGCGCGCCAGCTGCGTCCTCAATCGCCTCTGTATGGCTTCCTTCTTCTCCCTCCTCCTCCTCCTCCTCCTCGTCCTCCTCCTCCTCCTCTTCCTCCTCCTGCTCTGACTCCAGTTCCTCCTCCTCCACCCCATCCTCCTCTTCCTCTTCCTCCTCCTCGTCCGCCATCATCTGATTCCTCCTCTTCCTCCTCCTCCGACTCACCCTCCTCATCCTGCTCCTCGTCCTCCTCCTCCTCATCCTCCTCCGACGACGATACACCCTCCTCCTCCTCCTCCTCGTCCTCCTCCTCCTCCTCTTCTTCCTCCTCGTCGACTTCCAGATCCTCCTCCTACTCCACCCCATCTCCTCTTCCTTTCCCCTCCTCCTCCTCCTCCTCCTCCTCCTCCGCCACGCTGCCGCATCTGATTTCCTCCTCTTCTCCTCCTCCGACTCACCCTTCCTCATCATGATCCTCGTCCTCCTCCTCCTCCTCATCCCCTCCTCCTCCGACGACGGCGATCACATCCTTCCTCCTCCTCTTCGACCCCCCCTCCTCCTCTAATCAATTCTTCTGATCCTCCTCTCCTCCTCTTTCTCCCCATCTCCGTCCTCCTCTCCTCTTCCTCCTCCTCCTGCTATTACTCCAACCTCCTCTTCCTCTTCCTCCTCCTCCTCCTCCATCCATCTCCTCTTGCCCCCTCCTTCTCCTCGCCTCATCCGGCATCATCATCATGAGGATCAATCATCATCATTGATGATGGATCATCATCATCATAATCTATCATCATCAGCAGCAAGAGCATCATCATCAGCAATCATCATCATCCTCATCTCATCATCATCATTCATCATCATTCACCATCATCATCATCAGCATCACCATCATCATCCTCCTCCTCCTCCTCATCATCATCAGCATCATCATCGTCATCATCATCAACCTCATCATCAGCATCAGCATCAGCATCGTCATCGGCAGCATTATCATCAGCAGCATCATCAGTGTAATCATCATCATCATCATCATCATCATCATCATCATCATCATCATCATCATCATCATCAGAATCATCATCAGCATCATCATCACCATCGTCATCATCATCATCATCATCACCATCATCATAATCAACAACATTATCATCATCATCATCATCATCATCATCAGCATCATCATCAGCAGCAGCATCATCATCAGCACCATCATCAGATTCCCCCTCTTCCTCCTCCGACTCCCCCTCCTCATCCTCCTCCTCCCATTATTCCTCCTCCTCCTCCTCCTCTTCCTCCTCCTCCTCCTCTTCCTCCTGCTCCTGCTCCTCCCCTTGTTCCTCCTCCTCCTCCTTTCCTCTTCTCCTCCTCCCCCTCCTCCCTCCTTTTACTCCTCCTCTTATCCTCCTCATCTCCTCCTCTCCTCATCCTCATCCTCTCCGATCCTCCTCTCCCCTCCTCTCCTCGACTCCACCTTTCCTCCTCCACATCGTCCTCCTCCTCCCTTCTCCTCCTCTCCTCCCTCACACTGCACCCTGACTCCTCCTCTCCAAAATCCCCGACTAGTCCTGGTCCATGAACTCAGAACTCCTCGTCGTAGCCCTCCACATCCTCGCCTCCTCCTCACTTCCTCCTCCTCCTCCTCCCCCTCTCCTGCTCCTCTCCTCTCATTAGGTCTGTCCTCCTCCTTCCCTCCTCCTCTTCCTCTCCCCTCCTAGCTCTTACTCCAATTCCTCTACTCCTCCTCCTCCTCCTCCCCTCCTCTCAACCCCACCTCCTACTTCCTCTCCTCCTCTTCCTACCTCCTGCCGCCTCATCATCAGCCATCTATTCAATCATCATCATCATCATCACACCACCACCATCATCAGCATCATCATCATCATCATCATCATCATCATCATCATCATCATCATCATCATCATCATCATCATCATCATCATCATCATGATCATCATCATCATCATCATCATCATCATCATCATCATCAGTATCCTCATCATCATCATCATCACCACCACCATCTCCTTCATTATCAGCATCATCATCCTCATCGCCATCAGCCTCATCATCATAATAATCATCATCCTCATCCTCATCCTCATAATCATCATCAGCAGCAGCATCGTCATCAGCATCATCATCAGCATCATCATCATTAGCAGCATCATCATCAGCATCAGCATCATCATGAGCAGCATCATCATCAGCAGCACCATCATCCTCATCAGCATCGTCATCATCATCACCAGCGGCATCAGCATCAGCATCAGCATCAGCATCAGCATCAGCATCAGCATCAGCATCAGCAACATCATAACCAGCAGCAGCAGCATCATACTCAGCATCATGTTCCTCCTCCTCCTCCTCCGAGTCCCCCTCCTCATCCTCCTCCTGCTCCTCCTCCTCCCCTTATTCCTCCTCATCCGCCTCCTCCTCCTCCCCCGACCTTCCTCTCCTCCTCCACCTCCTCCTCTCCTCATCATATTCATCCTCCTATTCCTCCTCATCCTCCTCCCCCTCCTCATCCTACTCTCCACCTATTCATCCTCCTCTCCTGCTCGGGTCGCCCCCATATTCCTCTCTCCTCCCTCTCCTCCTCCTCCGCTCGTCCTCCCATCCTCCTTCTTATCTCCCACATCGTCCATGGCGTCCTCCTCCTCTCCTCCTCTCAATCGTCATTCTCATCCACTCAACCTCCTCCTCCTCATCATTTTATTCTCCTTGGACTCCTCGAACTCCGCCTCTTCCTCCTCCTCCTCATCATCTTCATCACATCATCATCATCATCATCACATCAGCCAGCGTTGTAGCAAGCATCATCATCATTCATCATTCATCATCATCATCATCTAAGACATCATCATCATCATCATCATCATCATCATCACCATCATCTTCATCACATCATCATCATTCATCATCAGCTCTCATCATCATCATCATCATATAATCATCATCATCATCATCATCATCATCATCATCATCATCATCATCATCATCATCATCATCATCATCATCATCTCATCATCATCATTCATCATCATCCATCATCATATCATATCATTCTAATCATCCCATCAAGCATCATCCTCATCATCATCATCATCATTCAGCATCGAATCTCATCAATCATCATCATCATCATCATCATCATCATCGTCATCATCTCATCATCATCATCATCATCATCAGCATAATCTCATCATTATCATCATCATCATAATCATCATCATTCAGCACAGCATTCATCATCATCGTCATCAGCATCATCATCACAGCAGCATTCAGCATCCTCAGCCATCCTCCGCAGGCAGCATGCTCAGATCTCATCATCAGCATCATTCCTCAGCCTTAGCATCATCATCATCATCAGCATCAATCAGCATCATCATCGTCATCATCGTTATCATCGTCATCTTCATCATCATCATCATCATCATCATCATCATCATCATCATCATCATCACCATCATCGTCGGCCTCCTCCTCCTCCTCCTCCTCCTCCTCCTCCTCCTCCTCCCCCTCC